TTCCATACTTTCTTCATCCATTCTTCATTTGAAGGGCATCTAGGTTGTTTCCAGGTTCTGGCTATTACAAACAATGCTGCTATGAACATAGTAGAGCATATACTTTTGTTGTGTGATAAGGCCTCTCTTGGGTATATTCCCAAGAGTGGTATTGCTGGGTCCAGGGGTAGGTTGATCCCGAATTTCCTGAGAAGCCTTCATGTGTCACTTTCCTTTTGCATATCCCTGCTGCTTGAATCCTTCTCCCCCTTCTATTTCTTACCACCGTCTCCAGTGGTCCGTACACCTCCTTTTCTTATCCGGTAGCACAGCTGGTCGGCTTCCCACCCAGTCCCTTCCCATGCCAGGAAAGCAGAGCTTGCAGAACAGTTCTGAGACAGGTCTACCAAGCTGCAGAAAGTCCTTCCAGCTCCTCCAATTCTATCATCTTACGCACAGAAAGGACATACAAAAGCACATAGAAAACTTTTCATTCTATTTTTGCTGGTAGCATAACTTCATTACAGTGGCATTTCCCCTTTCTAATGTATAAATTTGTATATATTTTAGTAGTTTATATATTTGTAAACAAACACTAGGTTATCTGTTCTATAGTTGTCTGTGCTCTTTTGCAATCGACCCCACTGGCTTTTTGTAATTTATTTTTTATTTTGCAAATCTGATATACAATACTCACTAAAAAGTAACTCCATAACCCCTGACAGAATTTTTTTATTCCCTGGTCTTGACTATGTGCCTCAAATATGAGTGGAGACATACAGTATTTGTCTTTGGGGGGTTGGCCTTTTGTATGTAACATGATGTCCTTGCAGTTCATCTTTTGCAGTACATTCAGAATTTCCTTCTGTTACATGTACCTACATACTTCATTTTGGTCAGCCAACCACTGAAGGACACAAGGCTGCTTCTGCCGTTTGGCTCCCATGACTACCCTGTTGTGAGAGTGGGTATTTTATTTTCCAGCCTTTATATCTTAAAATACTTCTTTAACCTTGTTTTACTAGTACGGTAGCACATTTTGTTAGGTAGTTTAATATTAACCTTCATGTTTTGTGGTTTTCTTTTTCTACTTGTGTTTCAGTAAAACTGGTTTCTAAAATTTCTACAGTTATGTCAAATTCCCTGACTCTGTCAGAACCATTCTTTATTTCCATTTTATTTGACACTATCACTTGATTCTTGCTTGTTTTCATTTCTCTGCTGAAATTCACAATCTGATCTAGCTTGATGTCTCCTTTTCAAGTAAAGCCTCAGAAGGCTATTCACCATCCTTGCTTAGTGTGCCCTGCATCTCTGAGTAAGAACCCCTGAGTTGCTTTCTCTTTTGACATTGTCTTCATTTATTGCACTTTGGTACACATAATGTATTGAATGTCAATTATTACATAAAAAACAGCAATTTAGAGTAGTTGTCCCTTAATCCATAGGGGATTGGTTCTAGGATCCCTTTCCTAGACCCAGCTCTGTGGGTCAAGTCCTTTATGTCAAGTGGCGTGGTGTTTACATATATATCCTACTATACACTTAACTTGTAGGTGACTTAGACTGTTGCAGTATATATGCTATATAAGTAGTTAACACTTTGTTATTTAGGAAGTAATGATAATGAAAAGTATGTTTATGTTCAGTATAGACGAAATAAGTTTTTCCTGCTATTTCCAGCCAGTAGTTGATTGAGTGCATAGATACAGAAAGCCAGCCTCTGTATTTCCTCCTATACTTGGGCATGACTCTTATGTTAGCATAGGAGTTGGGTCATTCTGCTTAGGGATTAAACTAGAGTTTGATTTTGTTTATCCTTTCACCTACTTCTGGTATCTTGTGCCTCTTTATTGGCCATTTGTTCAGCCCTTTATTAGACCATCAGGTATTTTAGACAGGCTAAGAATCACAGCCTCACCGAGTTAAACAAACAGCATAAACAAAAGCACCACATCTTTACATTGCTAAACAAATGTTCCACAGCATAAACAAAAGTAATACACCTTAAAATAATATTCTACAGCGTTCACCTACACAGCCGAAGATTGTGGTAAAGAGCTTGCAGGAGAGTGTGTGTGCCTTCCAAGGATCTTAGAAATACTTTGTAATAGCTTTCTTGCTCACAAACAAGTATCATTCCATGTGTGAAATTTTATACTTACTTTGTTGAATAAATACATTTACCTGGGTTTAATCATAGTATACTGAACATTTATGGCTATATATTAAACCCAAGCCTCCTTAATCTAAACAGTCAGCAAATCTGAAGATGCTGGATGTGCCGAATAGTTTTATGTCAGCTGGATGCATACTGGAGTCATCTGAAGGGAGGACCCTCAATTGAGAAAATGTGTCTGTGAAATCAGACTATAGGCAAGCTTGTAGAGCATTTTTCTTCATTAATAATTAAAGGTGGGGCAGCACTGTGGGTGGTGCCATCCCTGGGCTGGTGGTCCTGGGTTCTATAAGAAAGCAGACTAAGCAATCCATGGGGAACAGGCCAGTAAGCAGCACTCCTTCATGGCCTCTGCATCAGCTCCCACCTCCAGGTTACAACCCTGCTTGAGTTCTTGCCCTGACTTCCTTCACTGATGGACTGTGACATAAAAGTGTAAGCCAAATAAACCCTTTCCTTCCCAACTTGCTTTTGGTTATGGTTCTTCATTGTAGCAATAGAAACCATAACTAAGACACTGGAAAATCCTAGGGTAAATTGGAAAATGTTGCTAACCTACTTTAAATATATACTTAGATGATCCTATCTTTTCTAATAAGTACTTTGGTCATATGAATTAGGTTCGCCCTAAAGAACTCATTTAACCCTGCTTCTCTAAAAGCCTATCTCTAAATACAGTCATACTGTGATACTCTTACAAGTTAGGACTTCAGTATATAAATTTAGGTTGTTGGGTTACCATTGAACCTGTAATAAAAGACACTGAAAACCTAGTTCAAATGTCCAGCAGAGCCTTCTGGTACAATTAAATGTTCTGTGTCTTTGATAAACAACAGTCATGTGAAGCTTGTGGCTACTGACTGTATGTATGTTGTGCCTAATGAGACTGAAAAGCGAACTTTTAATTTTATGAATATTAAGCAATGTAAATAACCGTATGCAACAGTGGCTAACATTTGCATAATGCTTGACCAATCTATTTAACATGCAAAGACTGGAGGAGCACTATAGTTAAAATATGGGTTCAGTACCACAGTCATAATAATTGAAATAAATAGACATAGATTGAGTTACCAAATTTTGTTGTTGTTTTGTTTTGATTTTTGAGATAGGGTTTCTCTGTTGCTTTGGAGCCTGTCCTGGAACTAGTTCTTGTAGACCAGGCTGGCCTCCAACTCACAGACATCCACCTGCCTCTGCCTCCCGAATGCTGAAATTAAAGACATGTGCCACTACTGCCTGGTAAATTACCAAATTCTTAATGGAGTTTCTACCAATAGATTATAAAATAAAATTGAGATAATAATGCACTAAAATGTCCTCATTCTTTCTCTATAAAGATGTTGTAGTTCATCTTTAGAATGGGATTGATTTTTGACAGGTAGATTTGAGAATAAGTCTTTAAAGTCATTTTCATTTTTAATTTTAAAGAGTTTTGATAATTGCATATAACAGATGTTCAAATTAGTTCCATAAGTTTTCAGTTACCAGATTGGAGTCCATACTAGTAGAGAGTTTTAATAAAAACTAATTCGTTTAGAGCAGGTGAATAGTTTAACGTTTTTCTTAAAAAGTCTAAATCTAAAAAGTCATTCCACAAAAGAAGAATTTGAAAAAAGTTTTTTTTTTGAGACTAAAAATAGTTTGTTAAATTGATAGCTTCCTTTATTGCTTCATACTGTCCTTTAGTGTTTTGATGAGATGCTGTTATCTGGGAAACTTTAGGAACTCTTAGAACTAATTTTAAATTTACAGCAAAGTTATAAAAACTGCAGTGTCCTATACCCCTTTCCTGATATCTCTTAATTAATGTCTTATATGATTGCAGTATGATTGTCAAACCTTGGGAATCAGCACTATGTAGTAATACCAACTAAGTCTCGGTCTTTCACTAATGATCCTTCTTTTTGTTGTTTCTTTGGCAGTGCTGGGGATCGAACCCAGGGCCTCTCCCATGCGAGGCAAGTGCTTTACCTCTAAACTATACCTGCGACCTCAGTGTTTTTTTTTTTTTTTCTGTTTTGGGAACCTATCCAAAGATTCTTTAGTGTATCTCATTGTTATCCAGTCTCTGTTCTGGTCCTTGGTCTTTTCTTCATATTTTAAAAGTATTTGATTAATTATTTTTAAGAATGTCCTTAAATTTGGGTTTATATGATTTTGATTTTTTCCTTATTTGTTTAATTAAAATTTTGAATTTGTTTGCTTCTCTTAAAACTGTCATTGGAAATGATCTGCTACCCTTCTCTGTCTTCCTGTCAGGGGGTTATAGTGTGGATGTATCTTTTAAAAAAAAAAAAAAAAAAAAAGGAGATCTGTTTATTTTATGTATATGATGGGTACTCTCTCTGCATGAACAACTTTATGCCAGCAGAGGGCATCATCCCACTAGAGATGGCTGTGAGCCACCAGGTGGGTGCTGGAATTGAACTCAGGACCTCCAGAAGAACAGCCAGTGCTCTTAACTGCTGAGCCATCTCTCCAACCCCAGTGTGGATGTATTTTAAAACTGGTATTAAGCTTTAGAAGTTTTGATGATGGAAACTGCCTTCTTTAATATATTATAATTATTATAAAATATCAATCTATAAAAAGATGCCTTGTGATAACAAACTGATACTACATATGCAACCATTGATGAAAGAAAGCTATAGGCATCACTGGTTAATGGAACAGAATTAGTAGAATTTCATTAATTGAAATAAAATTCAGTAATGAAAAAGAGAAGCCATAGATAGTTCTCCATTGGAAAGTTAACAGAGTAATTATCAAGAGAAGGTCTTCCCAAAGAATAGAATTTCTTTTGTAATAGAAGTTATTAGAATCAATTTCTTAATCTAGCATATCATATAAAATCATTTTATTATAGTTACTATAATAAATATTTATATTGAAGCATTTGAAAATTCTGAATATAAAGATAAAAATAGTAATTAAAAAATACTACACCACCCGTTACACAACCTTACTGTTGTGTAAGCATCCTCATATGTTCCCACTGAGGAATGAAATTGTAGTAGACTTTGGTGTCCTTAAACAATATACTGCATTGTTATTACTTTTGACGGGTATATTATATGTGCATAATATATTAATATATATGTGTATCACATTTTCCTGTAAACAAGTATTCCATTCTAAACATACTTTCTTGTTTTTATTGTTTGGGGTTGTCTTTGACTATACGTCTGATAATAGAATTAAATATTGTTGTCCATTCAGAAACAATACTCAGTGAAATGATAAAATTTTCTCCTTATTTTGTTTTAGTTCAGCAATCAGCAAACACTGGGAGGCTGAACTAGCTACTCTCAAAGGAAATAATGCCAAACTCACTGCAGCCCTGCTGGAGTCCACTGCCAACGTGAAACAATGGAAGCAACAACTTGCCGCATATCAGGAAGAAGCAGAGCGGCTCCACAAGCGGGTAAGGACAGGGCTGTGCCAGCAGAGGGAATAAAGGTCTCTGTGGGGGAGAGCACATGGAATCTTCTGGGATACTCTTTAGTTGTCAGGATGTACATGAGCTAGGTTTCTTGTTATGCTGGCTCAAGAAAAATAGTTCCCACAGTCGCATGGCAATGAAGACTGCACAGCTTTTGAAAACAAATGAACTGATTGTGGTTTCGGCTGTGTCAATTAGCTGTGTGCCAAAATGGCAAAGATGTAAATAGGAAAGGAAGAGAAAAGGGGACAAGGTTAGAACAGAGCAGATACTATCCTCTCCTGTATATAAAAGTTAACTTTCAATTTGAAAGGTGAAAAATTGTGGAGCTCCATTTATAGTATATGAATATACTTAATTATTAGTAAGATAATTTCTATTTTTTATCACAATAGAAACCTAACTTATTACAAATCACTGGTGTTAAATATCCATTGACAATCTATTTTGTTCTCTTACTGTGTAATCTGGTTCCTTTAAGATTGTTTATGCTGTGGGGATGCTAGCAACAAGTTAGCTCTGCTTTATCTGACTACTGGTTTCACTTCCTGTGTTTCACATTCACAGTCATTTTTAGACACATATTGGACATTATAAGTGAGATTTTGTAAAGTCTTCTAGTTCCTTTGAAGAGTGATTATTTGCTGTGGGATAATGCTTTGTACACTGTAAAGATTTGTCACTTGTATTGGCTTGGTAAAATGCTGATTGGCCAGTAGCCAGGCAGGAAGTATAGGTGGGACAACCAGACTAAGAGAATTCTGGGAAGAGGAAAGGCAGAGAAAGCAAGATGAGAATGCCTCACTGAGAATAGGCACCAAGCCATGTGGCTAAACATAGATAAGAATGGGTTAATTTAAGTTGTAAGAACTAGTTAATAATAAGCTTGAGCTAATAGGTCCAACAGTTTATAATTAATATAAACCTCTGTGTATTTCTTTTGGAACTGAATGGCTATGGAACCAGGTGGGACAGAAACTTCTGTCTACAATTTATTTATTTATTTATTTATTTATTTATTAATTATTGTTATCTGTCACTATTATTATTAGCAGCAGCAATAGGCAAAAATCTCTTGAATTTATATACTGGTAGATTTGGTTTATTTCAATTTTCATTTATCCTTGGGAAAAATCACTTAGTTTAGTCCCAGGCAGTCTCTTCCCCTAAGATGTAACCCTCTTGAGGTGTCACTGGAAAGCCTGAAGTGTTTTTACGGTCTTGTTCATCTGAGAAGATTTCACAGTGTCTTCTCTATGGCCAATGCCACCACAGCTCAGTCCTTCCAGGGTCCGTCTTTTCTGTGCCTACACCTACTCCCACCCCCTCCCTATACTCCCTGACCATTTATGTGTCCACTAAAGACCTGTGGGAGGTCTGTTTGCCTTTCATTTAATTATCCCAGTTTCTAGCTCTTCCATCTGTTCTGAGGAATCTAAAAGTTCTTGAACTCATCAGGAAAATAAAGCTAAATGTTTCAGCTTGAATCCATCAAGCTGTCCAACTATATGAGCAAGTGCCTTTAGACAGAGATATGTGAGTCACTGACACCTAATGGTACTGATTTTTTTTTTTTCTGGTTTTTCGAGACAGAGTTTCTCTGTGTTGATTTGAAGCCAGTCCTAGAACTAATTCTTGTAGACCCCAGGCTGGCCTCGAACTCACAGAGATCTGCCTCCCGAGTGCTGGAATTAAAGGCATGCGCCACCACCTGGCTAATGACTGCTTTTCTACAGTTGGTTGCTTTGGGGTTTTGTTGTTTTTGTTTGTTATTTTTTGTTCATTTTGCTACACGCTATTTATTGTTTTTTGATCTGTGAGAAAGTAGTCCAATAAACCCGTTGCATTGTTATCAACACTCAAATTCCCTCTAGAACATTTTTAGTTAATCAAACAAAGACAACTGGTGTATATTAAACAATGATTCCGGAGATTTTTTTAATGTGTATATGTGCATTTGCAAGAGCGTGTGCATGTGTTTGTGTAAAATATCTGCATGTGATCTTGGGCGAATGTGTGCCGTGACTTCCCTTGTTGAGGCTTTGGGAACTGAACTCAGATTGTCATATTTGTGTGGTACTTGCTTTTCCTGCTGAGCTATCTCCCATTCCCAGTAATTTTTATTAGATGCTCCACATTATGAACAAGGGAGAAGAGAGCTTTGAGTGTTCTAGCAGAGGGGATCGGCTTTCAGAAGATAGGTGCTGAGTTTACTACCCGTTAAGATCAGAATGATCTTCAGAGGGACATTCTAGTTCAGTCAAGGAAACAAAAAAAAAAAAAGTTGGACATGAACACCATTTATTCTTAGGTTACTGTTAGAAGTGCACATCCTGGCCAAATAGATGATTTATATAGGTTGCAGCCAGTGACTGAAAGACGCTAGGATTGACTTTACCAGTGTGGTCTGGGGTTGCAGCCCAGTGGTACAGTACTTGCTTCACACTCAGGCCCTGGATACATCCTCATTAGTGGAAAGAAGAAAAGGGATTTAATATTATAAAAAACAATTGGAAGACTTTGAGCATCATACAATGAAAGACTCATTTGTGAGCAGTTCCAAAATACATAAGAAGAGAGACCACAGTTGTGATTAAATCTTCTATAGGAGCATTGCATTCGTCAGACCTAAGTAATAAAGGTCTGTGCAAAGAAGCATATTAGTAACTAAGTAGAAACGAAGCTAGGGTGTGAAAGAAACACTTGCAGAATAGAGGGTGATTTGCTATTGAAAGTTCAAGCTAGTTTGCTTTATCCTTACTTTGTCAGCAGGACTTTGAAAAGTTGTGGTAGGGTGTCTAAATGTTTGCATGATTTCTTCTTGGATTAACTGGGGTGGATAACTTTTAAGAACACTGAACTTTCCCATTATCTTTAAAAGGTGTCAGGCACTCATTAAAAAAATAATATTATTTGTTGGCTCTTGGTAAATTATTAGTGACTGAAAAACTATTGTCCTTCCCGTAAGAGGCACAGTTGACATGAAGCCATTGTAATGTCTTAAGGGTTTTTTTTTTGTCTTAAGTTTTTAAGGTGTTCTTAAGCATATCTTTTATTTCAGATTTTCTCATATTTGTTGGGGGGAGTCCTTACTTATGGAAGGTCAGTTCTCAGAACCCATATTTACCGGAATGCTCCAAACGGGGAAGCAGACAGTCATTAGCTATATCTGTATGAATTTTAAGGAACTTTCCTTATTGGAATTCTTTGTAGTGATTAATGACTTGTTTTCCATAACCCGACTCTGACCAGCATTTGAAAATTCATTGTCCCCAAACTATCTAGTAATCCTTTGGTTTTTGCCATTGCCTAAAATATTTATGTTTAAAGAATTTATTTTATGCCAAGAATCTTAATAACCTTTCATATAGTAATTCAAAATTCATTAACTTCTCAGGGGCTTACTATGACTTCAAGAAACTCTGAAATTGCCACTTAATTTAACCTGTGTTCTCATTTAATTGCAGGTCACTGAGCTTGAATGTGTTAGTAGTCAAGCAAATGCTGTGCACACCCACAAGGCTGAGCTAAATCAGACAGTACAAGAACTGGAAGAGACACTGAAAGTGAAGGAAGAGGTAGGCCCCACTCTACAGCTCTCTACGATCCAGATAGCATTATGTACAGCACAGGAGGTCTGGACTACCGTCTGCGGTAAAGTGAGATTGTGGGCTTCTGTTTTAAAGATAAAACTTTTATTGAACATTTTAAAGCTTGTTCATGTTTTCCCTCTCATGTTTCTGTTATTATTAACTTTGTTTGACTATGGCTGCCTTTTGTGTGAGAGTTGTACTTATATAAGCAATAGGAAACCCTTAGAGATTAAATGAATTTTTGCAAGTTGTTGCTTTCTTTGATTTTTAGTCAAAAAGGGCTATTTCATATACCAAGGGAAGAAGTGTATCTCAGACTTGAAGCTATTTAGTGCTATGCTGAAGCCATCATATTATACTTTTGATAGAAATCATTCTGAATTGGCATATGCTATTGTGCTTATAGTCCCAGGACGAGGAGCTGAGGCAGGAAGATCCTGCCTTGAAGCCATCTTTGCTATATATAATGAGATAAAGGAATGGAGTAAAGACCCTGCCCCACCTCCAGGAAAGAAGGAAACCTGACTCTTCAGGGAGCAGGCCTCTATAGGACTCATATCCCTCTGAAAGTCAATAAGGGATGCTTTTAATTACTGTTTCCTCGGAACTAGGAAATAGTTTCAGAGGAAAATTAGTTCTTCCCTCTCCTTATTATAAGTTAAATGTTGTTAAAGACATTACTTTATCTTTTCCAGGAAATAGAAAGATTGAAACAAGAAATCGATAATGCCAGAGAACTCCAAGAACAGAGGGACTCTCTGACTCAAAAACTACAGGTGAGCTAAGTAAAAACTTGACTGGTTCTGTGCAGAAAGTACTGGTCATTCTTTCACATCATAGTGGCTTTTCAAGCTCTCACTTTTATTTTTTTTTCTTTTTCTAGTACCTCTGACTCATGCCTACTGCCCCGTGTTGTAGACTTTCCCTGATGACTTCCTTTAGGTGTTGTGTAATCCTCGATGGCCATTTAGAAAGGGTTGTTGCGCAGTAATTTGGAAATTTCTGCTTTTATCATTAAAAGGGTACCCTAAACTTCAGGGAAAATATCTCAAATGGATTTCATTTAGTGTAGGGACCTGCTGGTGTTTTGTGTGCCAAGTTACTGTTTGAAATCTGGCATTCCTTGTGCCCTAGCGGAACAGAGGTTAGTGCCTTTTCCCTTTCGTCAGTCTTAAGCAAATTTGTCAACTTTTTCCTACATAGCTAACATACTTCCTGATTCTAGTTGACATACATACATCCTGTGTTGCTGGGAGTCAAATGTGAAAAGATTTTTCAAAATGTATTACTAAGTTGCCTTTTGCCAGCTTAAGCTAGCTGTCTCAAGAAGGGAAACAAGAATGTTCCTAAAGTGAGGAGTCTGCAGAGGCTTCTGAAGAGGAGCCTGGGAGCCAGGGAGTAGAAGGAGGACCAGTTGATAAGAAGACTCAGCACTGCTTATTCAGTGCTTGCTGCGTACAGACACTGTGCCAAGCACTCTTCATATTCTATCGGAATATCACAGTACAATGCAGAGGAACCCAGAGCCTGAAGAAAAGTAACTTGATCAACCTACATTTAGATCAAGACAAACTCTAATGCCTCTGTCCTTGACCACAAAACTCTGCTACTGTAAGGAACTTGGGCAGCTGGCAAGCAAAATGCTGGACCTTTTATCTTATTCACAGGCAGTGGAACCCCACCCTCCTTGATGAACTGCCTCCAGCAAGGCCACACCTCGTAACCCCTCCCAGAAAAGTTCCACCAGCTGCAACCAGTAATCACAGAAATTAGCCTGTGGCCATTCTCATTCAGACTGCCACAGTGCTTACAGTACCTCCATAATGATTCTTTTCATAATGTCTGTCAGTGTAAATTTTTCTCATATTGACATTGATCCACTTCCAAATAAAAGTGGAGATGTTTATTTAATCTTCTTAGAATATTGAACTCAGATTAAACATCTATGTTGATATTTCTAATTGTATTTTATTACTATTGAGTAATAGTTTAATTTTACAGCAGGCCCCTAAAATTGTATCAGCTGTTAATACTTCTTTAGTTTAATTTCAAATATGGTGGTGAAAACACTCTACATAGGACATCTAGTATCAAAAGTATCAGTACTCTTGAGTCTTTCTTTCATTCAGCATTTCTGTTCTTAGTGAAGATGCCTCTGGTGTTTTTCACTTATTTTTAATTCTTATTTTCTTGAGGGTATTTTGTTTGTTTATTTTGTTTTTATGAGGAGTAAATGTTGAATTTTGTTAATGGCCTTTTAGCGACTATGGAGCTAATAATCTCCCTAGATTCCTCCCCCCACCCATCGCCCTTTTTTCTCTTTATTTTAAAGATGTGTGTATGTGTGTCTTTGTGTGTTTGTGTGTACACACCACATATGTGCAGATTCCCATGGAATCCAAAAGAGGAATTCAGGTCCTCTGGAGCTTGAGTTACAGGAGATTTTGAGCCACCTGATGTGGGTACTGGGAATGGAACTTCGCTCTTAACTGCTGAGCCATCTCTCTAGCCCTTCTTTCTCGATCTCTCAGTACTCAGCTATCATCACATTGGCTGTGAAGCTTTGGTATCTGAATTTTAGAGAAGCAAATTCAAACCATAGTACTCACCAATCTTGACTCTATTACGGCTTTTTATGTCGCTTTAAAATTTTTATTTATTTATTTTTTTACATTTTAGTGTAGATATGTTGGTGTTTGCCTGTGTATTTATCTCTGCACCACATGTACACACCAAGTGTCTGTGGGGTCCATAAAGGGGACTGGAGTTAGAAATGGTTGTGAGCTACTGAGTGTGCGCTGGAATCAAACCTATGTCCTTGGAAGAGCAGCCTGTGCTTTTAACTGCTCTTAACTGTTCAGTCCCTAGATGTCACTTTTGAGAAGTCTTGTTCTAATTCTGATTCTCTTGCCTTAATAAGTTTTGGGCTTGGTTTACTCAAGTGCTATGAGGATTTTTGTTTTATTTTCAAAAAACAATGTTTATCAAGATATTTCATAAAGTGATTGTTGGAAGTCATTTTTCTCAAGTATTAGTGGGCCATTTTAATTTCCTTATCCAGCTGGGCATGACCTACTCCCTTAATCCTGAGTCCAGCATATTTCTGTGAGCTCAAGTCTAGCCTGATCTGTGTCACAAATTACAGGCCATCTAGGGCTACATACAGAGACCCTGCGTCAAATAATATCAACAGCAATAATAGTGTATATCCAAGTACTTTATCTCTTGATTCTTGTAGTATCTGAATCGTGAGCAGCAGAAAGCCTCATGTAGATTTCTCTAGACATCCCCAGTGCCAAAATGGTTATGAAATGCTTCACATATAAAATTAAAAATTTGTCCTTATATGTTATTTTTCTTCTGCAGCATATCTAATATGTAATTGAATTTTTTTGTCTTCTATTCCAATCTTTTTCTGGTTTTCCTTTCTTAATTTGCTTTTATTGTCTTTAATTTTTTTATATAATAAAGGAATAATGAATGAATTTATAAGTGTTCATAAAAGCTGTTTTTGTTTTGTTTTTTATTTTTATAAGGGCCTTATACTTCATTTCTTATGTGTTTTTTTTTTTGTTGTTGTTGTTGTTATTTCCTATTTCTTTCAACAATTTAATCGACTCCCCTGTTTTTCAGTGTAGCATGCTTAGTTTTCTGGGACTTTCTGTTGTGTCTTTTGATTCATTTGTTTTTATTTTATTTATGGGTGTTTTGCCTGTATGTTCTGCCTGTGTATTGCATGTTTGCAGTACTCTCAAAGAGGGTATTGAATACTTTGGAACTGGAGTTGCAGACTGTTGTCCGCTGCTGTGTGGGTATTGGGAGCCAAACCCAGGTCCTCTGGAAAAGCAGCCAGTGCTCTTAATCACTGAGCTGTCTCCAGCCCAGTATCCTTAATATGGGGGCCTAATTCAAGCTCCTTTTTGCATACTTTTATGTAAACCTTAACTCAGCATGGGATATCATGTTAAAAAAATTCTGCTTTGTAATTGGTTGGGGAAATTTTTTGGGTTTTTTTTTTTGTTGTTGTTGCTGTTGTTGTTTAACTGAATTCTTTTTAGTATTTTCTATTGATTGTTTTATAAATGAGCATGTTTATTTTAAAATACCTCTGCATTTTTGTGGACAAAAGGGCAGTTTAAGGTGATTAAATTCATAGTTCAAAACCCTCTTTTGAGGGACAATAATAGACAGGGACAATGTGTATGCTTCCGTGTTTTAATTTTTCTTTATATAACAAGAGCTTAAAGCTTTTTGTCTTGATTTCCCCTTTGCTGTTCCTAAAGGCTCCTATCCTCTTGCTCTTTTCTGAAGCGGTGTTGCCTTGCCAAGACTGCCTCTTCAGGTTTCGCTTGCAGTCAAGTCCCTCAGAGTCTGTTCTGCTTTACCAAACCAGTTTCCAGGTGTGGGCTTCCATGGAGGTCTTCCTGTCTCGCAGTGTTGCCCGCTGCACAGCCCACAGTCCCTCTGGAAAGGTTAAAGTGACAGCTTGAGAAACAGGCCTGCAAAGATTGTACTTTCAGGTTTGGGCCATGACAGTACTCTGAAAGGAATTTGAAATTCTGACCTATAAAGTGCTTCCTTTTTTTTTTTTTTTTTTTTAAATCTACACCATGAGATGGGTGCCCCTCACATGCCTTAAAAGACTAGGAAATTAATAGACAGCAATGATGGTTGAAGACATGCTTGCAGAGAGAAGCAAAGGCCAGAAAGGGAATTGGCAAGCATGTGCCCAGGCCGGGAGCGGTGCTGGCTGAGGCTCTGGTCACACTTCGGTTGTCTATTCTCCCCACCTGAGAGTAGACCAGTTCCCTCTGTGTTGTGCTGGTGCTGTTGGGTTATTTAACTAGTAAAAGTCTCACAGAGACACATGTCGGAGCTGGACGTTCATTCTAGAGAACACGATGCTGTTTGGTTATTTAACTAGTAAAAGTCTCACAGAGACACATGCCGGAGCTGGACATTCATTCTAGAGAATACGATGCTGTTTGGTTATTTAACTAGTAAAAGTCTTACAGAGACACATGTCGGAGCTGGACATTCATTCTAGAGAATACGATGCTGTTTTCACAACCGAGGAACAGTAGTTCGTGTGGCTTCCACTTTAAAATGTTTGGGTGCTCCATTAGTTGGCGAGGAGAAGAACAGGGAGCCTTTCATGTCTGAGGAAGACTGCAGAGGGCAGACTGGGCTACGGCTGTGCAGTGGGCATGATGCTGAATGACACTTGGTCTATTTCTGTAGCTGGAAACATTCTGTCCTTAAGCTTGTTGCCCAAGTGCAAGAGAGCGCTCTGTGCAGTCATGAGTGGGATTGTTGTATTTGACCACAGGATCTGTTCCTCCCTAATAGTGCACAGCCTCCGTGGCTTTAGCTTCTGAATTTATAAATACCAATTTCTGATTATTTTATTAGTTATCTTCACTTCGCAGATTATTCAAAGAATGATTAAAAACATATGTGGCTAACGTAGAAGTGGCCAATACCAATTAGAAAATGCTTTGAGATTAGATGTGGTCTTTACACTCCTCATTTATGAATTGTACTGTTTCTCTTAGTCCTCCCACACATTGCAGCTTATCTGGGGAGTATTGTAATGTGGCTTCAGTATTGTTCAGAATTATCCCTGTCAAATCATGTGCTGATGTTCAGAATTATAAACAGTTACTCTCTTTCATCTTCTCAAGTCAACTTACCCACATCTTTTTCTCAGAACTTCAGTGTTTTTATTAGATTTATGTATTTATTATGTGAGGATAACTTTTGGGAGTCTCCTCTCCTTCTACCATGTGTGTCCAGGGATTGAACTCAGGTTGTGAATTGTTACTGTTGTTGTTGTGACAGGGTCTCACTGTGTAGCTCTGGCTGTCCTGAAATACACTCTGTAGACCTGGCTGGCCTTGAACTCACAGTGATCTGCCTGTCTTGACCTCCACGGACTGGGATTAAAGGAGTGCACCATTATACCAGCTTAAGTTGTGAGTTTTGAAAGCAAGTGTCTTTACCTGTTGAGCTATCTTTTTGACCCTAAAATCTTCTATTCTTGAGGAAATTGTGAGAAAAATTAATGTGGAGAAAAATATTCATAATTCTAAACCAGATTTTTTTTTTTAAAAAAAATAGATCTTTATTTTTATGTGTATGCATGTTTTGTCTGCATGTATGCCTGTGCAATACATGCACGCAGTGCCTGTGGAAGCCAGAAGAGGGCATCACATCCCATAGAACTGGAGTTGAGATTGACATGAGCTGCCTTGTAGGTGCTGAGAATTGAATCCAGATCCTCTAGAAGAGCAGCCAGTATTCTCAACCACAGAACCATCTTTCCTGCTTTAAATTTGACCTTTAAAACTAAATTTAAATCATTAGTCATGTAATTTTGGGTTTTTGCACTTGCCTCATTATATAATGTTCAGAAACATTTGTCATCCTTAGAAACATCATTAAAAGCCATAATCCTTAGTGTGCTGGCATTTAGACCACATAAAAAATTTTAAATATTTTTGTCTTGTCATAAAGTTTTGTTTTCTTGTCTTTTTTGTTGTTGTTGTTGTTCCTTCCTGGATTTTCAGCCTGAATTTGTCATCTTTATTCTTCTGATACATGCAGTGACTGTATCTTCATTATAAGCTTCTAGATCTGAGCAATTGTATGTTTTTATGCACATGTTCCTTCAGTCCCGAATACAGGGTCAGTATCAGACAGTCTTACCATCTCATTTTAGGGAGTTGTTGCTTTTCTTTTAACTCTTTCTTTAGAGTTACCAGGTCAGGTGAACGGCCTATTGTCAGTTACAAAGGAACAGCAATAAAAGTGAGGTGTAAATAAAACTTAGGTGGGTGTTCTGCCTGCCCTGAGAAGTCCGGAAGCCTTGCCTGGAGTGAAGCAGTGACTAGCGGCCCTTTCTTGTAGGAAGGACATATCTGTTCTTAGTCAAGCCTGGCTCTCTGGGGTGGCTGACTCCAAATCTCCGTAAGTTGTGTGAACTTGAACGTCAGGCTTACTAGAAGATACGAGGGACAGCAGGAAGTTGTATTGTTATCTAAAAATGAACTGACATGGACGTGTGTGTTAACTTTTGTTTCTGAAGGAAGTTGAAATTCGGAATAAAGACCTGGAGGGGCAGCTGTCTGACCTGGAGCAGCGCCTGGAGAAGAGCCAGAGTGAGCAGGAAGCTTTCCGCAGTAACCTGAAGACACTCTTAGAAATCCTGGATGGCAAGATATTTGAACTAACAGAATTACGAGATAATCTGGCCAAACTACTAGAATGCAGCTAAGGAGAGTAAATTTCAGTGCCAATGAGGAAAAGATACTGTCTGTCTTCGTAGGACTGTTTGGGCTTTGCACCAAGATTGCACAAATTTTTTTGAATATCATCCCTCCAGGAGGAGGTGTTTTGAAAATTGGAATTGTATATTTCAGTATAAATTTTAGAATTTAGCCTGTAGCTAGTTGGGGAAAAAAAGACATGAAAAACTTGAACTACAAATTACCTCCATGTATATTGGCCATAGTTAACTGGAAAGTTCTAAGTAGACACTTACTGCAATCTTCCCCCTGATGTTAGCTAATGGGAGAATTAACAATGTCTGGGTCCTTTCTTCTTTTTTTTGTTCAACACAGTGAAGATTATCTGCTTTTTAAATTAATTTATTTATGATATCTACAGCTGTGTTTTGTGCAAAAATTTAGTAATGAAAGCCCTGTCTTTTGTTGTTATCTGAATAATTTCTCAGGATATTTTTGCACTGCTGAGAAGCAGGGCCATTACCAATTAATTCTTGCCAGGTGTGGGAGAGAGGTACACCTTCAATTGAAAATCACCAGAAATGGGTGTCTGGAGTTCTTCCTTTTTTTACTGGGAGTGTTTTCACTCTCGTGACTACTCTGGTACACTCTACTGTTCTCCAATCTTGTCTGCTGTATAGTTTACTTTTCCATATTGATTCGTGTATTTATGAGAAGATACTGTCTCCCATTTTATTACACACTTTAAAGCCAATTAAACAAAGGCAGCTGAGTCCCTCGGATATTTTTCTTTTTAAATTTATAGTAAATTTGACACACAGAACTGAAATGCAGCAGTCCGTCCTTGGCGGTGTAGGCTAGCAATGTTAAGTGTCTTTACAGAAAATATGCAGGTACACTTATTTATATATTTGGCAAGAAATCTTTTCTGAGTGATCAGTGAATTTCAATTTATGAGAAATAATGGCTATGGGGGCACTGTTTATTATAGATAACTTTAAGGTAAATAGCTGATTTCAAGGAGGTCCACTTCCACCTAGCAGCCAATCAGAGGACTGTGTCTAAATTGTGATTGTGGCAGATGGGTCTTCACCGAAACCATGTCTTTATTCAAACTTCACAAGGCAATATTTTGAACTGTTAACTAGGCATTTCAAAACGGGAAATACCTTCAACAGTCTCTTCTCGGAGAGCTAGTTTTAGTGTTGTTTTGATGTAATTTTAAGACATTTAGCAAACATGCATTTCTTTATATGATACATTTCTTTTACAGAGCTATTTTAATAGCAAGCCAAGTGCTGTCTGCTCTGCCCAAGTAGGGATTGCATCAGAATACATATATTCTTGCTGTACAATGCCTGTGATTTTGAAGAGAGTTCTTTTCAGTGGATGCTTGAGTACCTGACTCCGGAGTCAATGAATGCACTGGGTTTTGTTTGTACCCCCAAATGATTGAATTGTTAAGTACCAATCAAGCAGATTAACCCATTTTTTCACTCATAAACAGATTCTTAGTACTAGTTTTGTTTTATACTTATGTGTATGTATGTAAATACATACATATATATCAATTTATATTAGAGTGAAAAATAAATGGTTTATTTCTAAAGTTAGTTTCTACAGTGAGGTATCTCTTAAAAATCTGTATCAGACACACATATAATCATCATGTATTATATGTCCTATAACATCACATCAGTCACCCCATCTATTTTAGGGTATTTTCCTTATCTGTTTATTTTAGAGAGAATAATTTAGGTACACATGCTCAGAGCTGAGATATTTCTCTGATAAATCAGGTAATAAAATTTATTTGATGGACAGAATTTTGAAAACAGATATGATTTTATTTATGAGTTTCTGAATATCAAAGAATACCAGGTTTTAATTTAAGTAGAGGCTTAACACTAGGGATCAGGGAATTTAGTTATAAAGAGTTTAAAAAATTCTTTAAAAAAAAGACAAAAAAACAGTGTAAGCTGTTAATATGGTAAGGGAATTATTTTAATGATGTAATAAAATATTTTTAAATTTTGGCATAGTGATCATTTAATGGGAAAATAACTCACCAAAATGTCTCCATTTGAATTGTACTGATAATGTGAGGCATATGTGTAATTCAATATATACATATACCTATATGTATATACAGAAATTATTTTTAATATTTTCCTACTGCTGTGAAATTTAAAATTGGAAATTTTGTGAGTGTTTTCCATGTCCAATAGAGCCTAATTGTTTCTTTTTTAGTAACTTAACACTTTCTTGAGGGCTGCACCTATAACTTCCCAGCTTGTCTGTAGACATGTACAGTACTTGGGATGAGGTAGACACAAGTGCACATATAAATAAGCCTTCCTATTGACTATTTTAAACATTCACTACACTAGAGGAGCATCTAGAACTCATTGCCTCTAAGTCATAGATTGTGTGCCTACTGTAGCTTTTTCCATTGCTGTATTATATAAACATTTGCATATTAAAATTTGATTTTTCCCAGAGATAAATATTATATAATGTATCTATATTTAGATCAGACTGTGGTAATATATTGATCAGAACTAATGTTGGGGACGATAGCCTGAACATGTGGACTTGCAGCGACCCAGGAGGAGAGCAGAGGTCTTTCCCATTTGTGTGTAAGTTATTACAACTATGAAATCTTGTACAAAAGCAAAAACTGGAAAAAAAAAACAAAAATACAGTTTTTATTTTGAAATACAGTTGTTCTCTGGAGAATGTACTTCCTCTTTTTTTCTCAGTCTTTTAAGGATATTTAAAGCATTTAAGCAATGGCAGCATTTCCTTCAATCCTACAGGTGCTACTGGATTTTGCATTAGTATGTGATGTTTTAAAATCCTAACTTTGACATAAAAGGTTTTATAAGTATTTCCCTGCCTGGAAAATTAGTTTTTATTCTTCTGTCCTCGTTCCCTCCTCTCGCTCTGCCTCTCTAGACTAAAAACGAACATTCATGATATTGCATTACTTCTTGTCCCTAAATGAAGTTTGCAGCACCATCCAAACTCTGATGCTCTGTGCTCTTTGAACTGTTGGAGCAGTTAGAGAAGAACTTGTCCCTTATCTTTTCAGGTGGCACTGAAATGGTAAGCTACCACATACCTTTAAAAAGCCATGTCTTTGCTCTGTTCAAATTAAATGTATCCTTTAGCAGGTGTGTCTCTGCCATCAATGTCTTTGTCTGCCTCCTGAGTGTGGGCTTGGGTTGCTGCCTCCTGACCCCTACTGTCTCTGGAACTGGAACAGAAGGCAGGACCTGGGGAAAACCTGTGGGTTATTGTCTTGAGCCTTTCATTTATTTGATACCAAATAATTTTAGCATTTGAAAATTTGTGCCTAAAGACTTAAAACAGACTTCATTGAACCTTTTAGCATAATCTTTCAGCATTCATGAGGTAAACTGACATAATTTCTTTTTCTTTCATGGTGCTGGGGGTCAACAACCCCAGGACCTAGCACATTCTAGGCAAGTTCTGTGTCACTGAGCTACTTCCAGCCCTATATAAAATCACAAAGAAGAAAACTCCAGGTAAGAAGTAGTTGACTTTGACACATGTTTTTTTAAACATATTTAATAGAATACCACACCATATGGTTAGTAATAATAATAAGTATTGCTAAGAATATATATATGTATATATACATATATATAATTTTAGACTCACTCATTCCATTGTCCTAAAGACAACAAAAACTGTTTTTAAACTGGGAATCACCGTTCTTTTAATCCCAGCGTTGAGAAGGCTGAGGCAGGAGGATTGAGAGCTGGAGATTATCCTGGGCTATATATAGTAAGACTTTGTCTCAAAAATAAAGAAAAATAAGTTTACACCTAATAAGTAGAGAAAGTCCAAATCACTGACAGTTTCACCCAAAAAATTCCGAGTCAGCAGCACACTGCCTGACAATCTTGTTAGGCCACCAGGTAAAGGGGTGGCTTTAAAACAAACAAACAAACAAAGGTATACATATAAGTGTTTTCCATACATATGTATCTACCAAGTGTATGTCGGGTGCTCTCAGAGATCCAAAGAGTGTGTCAGATTTTCTGCAACTGGAGTTACAGAGCTGCCATGTGGGTGCTGGGAACTGAACCCAGGGCCTCTGCAAAAGCAACAACTGTTCTTAACCATGGAGCATCTCTGCAGCCTTAATTCTCAGAGAATTTCATTCATGTTCCCCAGCGCCTCCCAGATCTTCCCCCTCCCTAGCTACCCTACCTCATGTTCTTTGTTTTGAATGAGAGAAAAGAATGGGGGAGACAGAAGAAGAGGAGAAGCCACCGAAAACATGGAATCTGATTTGTGTTAGCCAGTTAAGTTACTCCTGAGCATGAGGCCTGCCTCACACTGGAGCTGATATACTCTGTCACTCCAATGGAGAATCGTCCCTCTCCCCGCAGCTGTCAGTTGCAATAGCTTCTCGGTTAGTGGTGGGACTTTGTGTCCACTTCTCCTTCCCAGTATTTGGACTCTGTCTTGTTTGAGCTTGTGCAGGTGTTACTGTACTGTCACAGTCTTTGTGAGTTCATATGATCATCAGCCCTGCTATGTCTAGGATGTGTCTTCCTTCTCCTTAAAATCATCCACCACCCCTGACTCTTAAAATCTTTCACATAGATCCTGAGTCTAGAGGGGAGAGGTGTGATAGACACCCGACCAGGGCTGGGATAGTATTAATAGAAGCAAGAACCTGGGACTCGCTCGGTCTCGGGCCCTAGGGGAAAGCCTACTCCTGTTATTCTGCTAGATGGGTGTGGCAGTAAAGTGACTTCTGACGACAGCACTGTACCCATAGGTGAGTGCATTGCTGGTCACCTTCATTGGAGAAGCTTCTCCTTGCAGTAGGTAGTGATTAACGCAGAGACCCACACACAGCCCAGCAGCATGCAGCGTAAGAGACTCTGGAGAAGGCACCTTTCAAGGTAGCCACAGGTGCTGTGTACAGATAGAATGCATGCTTAAGCACATGCTAAGACATGCATGAAATCCTTAGCAAAACAAGAAATGGAAAAATAAAGAAGAGAAAATTTTTTTCTTTAGGTCATTACTAAAGACATGTGAGCCATGGGGAAAAAAAACTGCATCTGTACTAGAATAAAAGATCAAAACACCCAAAGACTTCCTGTGGATTTTCTCTTCTGTTGGTCACTTGTACTTCAAGTCTTAGCATAGCTCTCCATGCTCCTAGTCCCAGCTGTCCAGATGACTGAGGCTGGAGAATAATTTGAGACAGGAATTGGGAACCACTTAGGCCAATACAGATCCTGTCTCTATAAAATAAATAAAAGGGATGGAGAATTGTCCCTATCATGAATCCTGATCTAGCAAACAGGAGCATCAGAACCAGTGTTTACCTGAGGCATAGCAGGATGGCCAGACACAAAGTCCTCCCCCAGCCTTAATCCCTGTTTTGATGCTGCTTTGATTTAGTTTTTGTTGGAGTTTTTCTGTTGTTGTTTGTTTGTTTGTTTGTTTGTTTGTTTGTTTGTTTGTTTTGAGACAGGGTCTCTCTGTATAGCCCTGACTAGCCTGGCACTCACTGCATGACCAGGCAGGCTGCCCCAGAACTCAACAGAGCTCCGCCTGCCTCTGCCTTCCAGGTGCTGGGATTAAAGGTGTGCGCCACCACACTTAGCTGCTGCTGCTTTTAACCAAATCATGATTGCTCTGAAGAGTCTCAAAGTCCCTAAGAACATCCTGCCAGTCGTTAGGATTTATAAACCGCTCCAAGACATAAGCTTTCACACTCACTATTCTTTGGGATTCTGACCTACTTTTGTCAGATACACACAGAAATAGAAATATTACTCTGCTTCTTCATAATAGCATTAAATGAAAATGCTAGGTGTCCTCATAAATGCACCTCCTAGGCTGTTTCTGTAGTATGACAAAGTCTTCAGCATCTTTGTGTCAGCATGTCTTCGGTTGCTCATGTCTGTTGGGACTCTCTTGCTGAGTACTCCCTTTGTCTGTGTTACTTGTAAATGAGACTTTTGTTTTCCCTGGCTTTTTGCTGAGTGACATGGCTAAAAACGAGATATGCTTGACGTAGACACTTCTCAACAGCTTGCATTTGGAGAGGCGGGCAAAGAGCAAGGTTCAGATGATGGGCCCTGCTGTGTTCACAGCCACAGGTCGGCGTCTACACATCTGTCAGGAGGTAGAGTTCTTGATTGTGTTTCTGCTGCAGATTTTTCTAATTCATCTGCCCTGCTTCTCTAACATATTTTTTAGAACTAATTTTTTGTTTGCTTGGTTTTTTTTTTTTGTTATTATTATTTGAAAGAAGTCTTGTGTAGCCCAGGATAGTCTCAAAGTTGATAGCTAAGGATAGTCTGCCAAGTTCTGTGGTTCCAGGCCTGTGCTGTCCTGTCCTGTCAGTGTCTGCGTGGTCTTAGGGCTTCGCCCATGCTAGAGGAGCATTCTGTCAGCTAAGCTACAGTTCTACCCTGTTAGGATGCTTCATGGCCTTTTCTGATGCTTACAACTCTTGTTGCCATTGTGAGTTACATCATGCTTTTGCAGGTGTCTTATTCATGGACCGTGTTTTAGTCTCCATTTAAAGAAAAAAACTTACAGGTTTCCAGTGATTTAATGAGTAATTGTTCATGTGTAGAATTTAAGTCCCTTTAATTTAAATAACATCTTAGTTTGAAAGCACATGCTAGTAGTCCCAGCACTTGAGAGGCTGAAGCAGGATTGCAAATTTTTGGCCAGCCTAGGATACATAGCAAAACCTGTCTTAAAACAAAATAGTAGAAGCTGGGCTTGATGGGCCATGCCTTTAATCCCAGCACTCAGGATACAAAAACAGGTGGATCTCTGAGTTGGAGGCTAACCTGATCTACTAATAGAGAGACCCTGTCTCAAAAAATGAAACAAACAAGCAAGCTGTAGGGACTCAGTTAAGAGCACTAGTTTTTACAGAGGATCCAGGTTCAATTCCCAGCACCCACATGACTGCTCACTACCATGCATCGCTTAGTTTCAGGAAATCCAGCATTCTCTTCTGATTGCCACAGACCCCTGACATGCACGCAGTGCACAGACACTGCAGACCCCAGACATGCACACAGTCCACACACACCAGACATGCACACAGTGCACACACACCAGACATGCACACAGTGCACACACACCAGACATGCACACAGTGCACAGACACTGCAGACCGCAGACATGCACACAGTGCACACACACCAGACATGCACACAGTGCACACACACCAGACATGCACACAGTGCACAGACAATGTATGCAAAAACACTCATACACATGAAATAAGTAAATAAGAAACAAAAGCAATGGCAGCTTGGTCTTCAGAACTAGATTCGGGATAGCCAGGACTATACAGAGAAACCCTGTCTCAAAAACAAACCCAATAGCAAACTGATAATCAAGGCCTTAGGAAGACAATTCCACTCCTGGAAACTCATTCCTAGCACTGAGGGAGATCACTGGGAGATGCCATGCTGTTCATTCTGGATGACTAGTCAGTGCTAGCTCTGTAGAAGCTAAGGCTTCTCCTAGTCAATCTGACCAATAAACAATGAGTGCAAGTTAAACCATGAAGAAGACTGAAAGCACTTAACAGAGTCCCAGTCAGAGCACAGTCATGATTAATAGAGTACCTGCATTGTGCTGGGTGTGGGGCTATAAGGGCCTCCTGGGTCAGTGACTTTCTCTCTTATATGAAATTAGATTTAAATAGAAATAACATAAGCATAGCATTCAACATTTGAGCTTCCCCTCTCCCTCAACCAAGACGTTTTTCTGTGTCTCTGTGTAGCCCTGGCTGTCCTAGAACTCACTCTTTAGACCAGGTTGGTCTCAAACTCAGAGATCTACCTGCCACTGCCTCCCATGTGGAGGCATTAAAAATTGTCAGCCACCACCACCTGGCAGAGTGGAGGAGACAAGACAGAACGCTGAGTTGATGTGTCACATCCTCTGCTATAGGCCTCCCAACTCGTTTATTTACTTAATTTATTTTTGAGGCAGTTTATTTATATAGCCCTGACCATCCTGGAACTCACTCTGTAGACCAGATTGGCCTTGAACTCGACAGAGGTTCGGCCTCCGCCTCCCCAGTGCTGGGATTTAAAGCATGCACCACTAAACCCAGCTCATTTAAACCATTTCTGAGAGTGATTTTCAATACTTTCATGGTGTTATTATCACCACTGTCCGTTTACCCTTCTGTCATCTCTGATGATGTACCTTATACCTCTGTACATTCTTGGATGCATGGAGTCACAGTGTTTGTCTTTTGGGGTCTGACTCGTTTCGCCTAGCCTGATATTCTCAAGGTCCATTCCTGTTGTCGCTTGTCTGGGCATTCTGTTGCTTCTTGAGGCTGATAAGATTCTGTTGTGTAGACACTAGCTTTACTTCATCTATCCAGTCATTTGTGGATGAACGTTGGATTGTTTCTGTCTTTGTGAATATGCTGCTGTGAACGCGAATCTGAGTCTATGTGTCATGTTTTGGGGGGCTATAAACCTAGGATATAAATAGGAATTTCATGTGATAATTCTAGGTTTAACTTTTTGAGGAACAAGCAGAAGATTAGATTTGAATTGGGTAAATGCAAAAAAAGACTAGGATAAGGTGTGAGCTGGCAGGGAAATTCCAGTCTCCAGGCTGGTGTTTTGTAATAGGTTCATATGTGACCCACGTGCCTTGTTTTAAAGTATGTGTGCATGTCATGCGGAAGTCAGGGAACAGCTTTTGTGAGTTGGTTCTCTCCTTTCATGTTGAGTCGTGGGATTAAATGCAAGCTGTCAGGCTTGCCTTGCACGCACTTTTACCTCCGGAGCCGTCTCACCAGCCAGTCCATATGCCTTTTACACATTCTTTCCTAAGACAGTTACTGAGCACCAGCTATGGCCCAGGCTCTGTACTGGGATAGAAACTACAGAAAGGGGGCCATAGTTGCGTGCTAGGTCAAGTTATTTATACTATACATGCCGTGGCAAAAGACGACTCTGGCAAGGGACATCATCCCAGGGAAGGGGAGTGGGAAGGTCTTTTCCAAAGGAAGGGAACCCTCCCAAATTCTTGCTGGAGGAACTAGAACTAGTCAGTTATAGGCATAAAAGAATTACTGAGAGTGCTTCATATGCAAAGACTCAGACAGAAAAGCTTTGGGGCCATTTAGATTAGAGTGGGTCAGTGCAGATGAAGCATAGAACATGGGAAAGGGCATGACAACGAGGGGACAAAAGGTACATTGGAACTTTGTAGTTCATTTACAAGGTTTGATTGGGGCATTATTCATTCTGAAGGTAATGGAGAGATGAGGGGATTTTGTTGCAAAGAAGTAATGCAATAAAATATGTGTTATAAGACCAGGCAGTTACATGAATGGCAATAATCACTGCTGACATGAATTGACAGCTATGGCGCTGGGGATGGTAACTATGCAATGATGTGTTTGAATAGGATTTAGGAGGTAGGATTTCCTAACTCGTGTAGGTGTCTTGGGAGAATGCGTCTTGAACTGCAGGCTGGGTTCAACATGAGGAAGAGCTGCAAGGCAGAGATCAGATGTGTGGATTAGGCTCTGTTCCTCTTGTGTGAATAGATGGAGTAGGGGTGGGACTACTGGAGCAAATGAGTTTCCTTTTGAATGAGTTTAGTGTGCATGGAAAAATACCCAAGTGAAACTTTTAAGTCTAGGTATGAAACTTGGGGGAAAAACAAGAGCTGAAAATAGCTACTTAGGAATCATCACGGTGTGTGGTAGCAGTTTGGGGCCTGAAAATAGGGAGAATGGAGAATGCGAACTGAAAGAATCTAGGCTAGATGCAGCTTGAAGAAGAGTTACAAGGTTGGGGGGGGCAGCCAGAATAGTGGGCCTTCTGAGAGCCTAACGTGGAGTTCTAGAAAGCCATAATTCACATGAAAATACAGCCACAAATCAACTCATGTCTCAGGGTGATGGCTTAAAATACATTCTGTTGAGATCCTTTATTTGATATTTTAGGCTTAAAGGAATAAAAAAAAACCAACAAACTGAAATATGTACTTTTAGCAAACTCAGAATCTCTATGTATAACCTTTAAAAACATGAAAGAAATTTGGGCTAACAGTTTTTTCCTGGACTAGCACGGCAAGCTGGTAAAGGATTGCCGCTGGTCTCTGTAGGAATTGGGACTTCCTGAATGCAACAGCTGAACTAAAACCCAGAAATGGCGCCTGCAGGTGATGTCTTCTAGAGACCCATTTTAACACTTAACGAAAACAGCTTTATTTTCTCTAGTGGTATGTTGACTAAATGCTCTGAACCTCTGTTTGTGTATTACTGGACTTCATGTTGTTATAAGGAGTGGGGTACTGAGGCTACAGCCACAAGAATCTTAACTACTCCTTTCTGTAGCTCCCCAACCTCATCAGGGTTAAGTTCTTGGTACTTGAGTCTGAGGTTCTTTGTCTTTCGGTTTGTGAATTTGATACTGAATTCATGACCAAGTATTTGTATATTTTCAATGCTTTAGAAAGTTTGTTTCTGTTATTCTAAGTACTCCTCTTTCTTAGTAATTCATAAGCATAACTACTTACAAATTATTCTCTTATAAAAGTAATCTCAAATGGTATCAACAAAAACTATTCTTTGTACTTGGTTTTAGTCTGCTGTGGTATTTAAGTTTTATTTCTAGTTTGAGTTACATTTAAAATTAGTTGGAATTCCTTGAGTAGACATTATTTGTCACTTGGGCAATAGATGGAGCATGTTTGACATTGCAGGAAGGAAAAAGGATCCACCATTGTTCGCAGTTTGCTCATAATATCCTATAAAATTTTCAAGTCAACTTGGGAATTGTCAAATAAACAATAACTTTGAAGTCACTCGTGTTCATCCTTTTCTGTCTCGTTAATTTTGGTCTCCCATAGACGCTTTACTTTACAGTCTGTGCATGCAGTGACATCCCGGTGCTGTGTGTATGGGGTAAACAGGCAGCTGCTGCTTCGCGGCGTGTGGCCAGCTCTACACAGCAGCTACCACAGCAATTTCGTGCTAAAGCGTTTTTGTCACCTCCACTTCTAAGATGGAGAGCTGGGGGACTGGCCTGGTGAGAGGCAACCAGGGAAACACAGGCCTTCTACTGGCAGCGTGCTTGAACTGTGCCATGCAAATACGTTTTTAAAAGGCAGTAAGTATAAAAACGTATCAATATGTAACGCTCATCAGCCTGTTAAGAGGAATCCTATGGCTTGTTTTCCATCCCTTGTGCTGTTGTGTCTCTGACCTCCCTAACCTCTTTCCTTTTTTTAAAAAAAGGAAATTTGTCCTAAATACACAGTGGTTCATGTGTGCTTTCAAAGAAACTCAACTTTTATTATTGTGTGGGGGCATGTGGACCTCAGTGCTTGTGTGAAGTCAGTTCTGCCTGTATGGATTCTGGAGAGCAGATGCAGGCGAAACACTGTTAACCCGTGGACCATCTCACTGAACCATGTGCTTTCTCTCTATTTGTAAAATAATACAGATAAAGCAAAAGTCACTAGGATGCTCCTTTCGTCTTTTGACATTATTGCTGTGACGCATTAAATGCCATTCTTTCAGTATGTCATATGCATGTATATACTATATATATATATAGCTGTTGAGACCTCTAGTTTGTGGGGCATATTGTATCATAAGGTCTGGGTTTTCTCCTGCATCAGTTTCCTTGTTTGAGGCTATTATAAATCTGTCTTATTCTTTTTCTCATAGAGTTCTCTATTTTGGGAATCAGGTTATATGTTTCCGTATTTTTTTCCTTACCCATAGATTGCTTGTTAAATCTTAGGAGTATTCAGGGTTAGTTAGTACCTAGTTACCAAATATCCCCCAGTGCCTCTAAAACCCCATAATCATTAGAAAGCATGAACTCTGGAAAGAACATTGCAGAAAGCTAAAAAAATAAATGTTTGGCTTCTACTGATGAAACTCCAGAATTATTGCACTGTCCAGCAACTTGTGTTCGACAGAGTACCCAGTGACTCGACGCACCTTAGAAGAAAGGCCTGTCACTCTTCTTTACCTGGTGACCAGGTCTGGGAATCGTGATCCAGTGCCACCATTTCCCTCCACCTTTACGTGGTCTCGAGCTCAAGGAAAGCACTGTTCCCAGCGAACCACATTTTGCAAGATTCTATGATCTTTAAACAGGAAGATGGGACAAGACGGAATAGCACTGTGGCAGATCAGAACGGTGTCTGCCTCTCAGGTCAGGAGGATCTAATGCCAATTGCCTGGTAACCCATCATTTCATGAACACCTGTGAGATGTGCCTCAGAAGACCAGTCCTCCCATCAGAACACCCACACTGGTGAGAGAGCTGCACAGCCATCTGACATCAGCGCTGCAAGGCAAGGGATACACGTGGGGCAGGAGCTGGTGTCCTGGAGGAGGCAGCATTTGAACTGATGTCAAAGAGGAGTAATCGCTCCCTGAAAACCCAAGCAATAAGGGGGAAGTGAGAACACGTTCAGTTCTGAGACCCTGGCTGCACAGATCAATGGTCCAGCACGGAAGATCTAGACTGCAGGCTTGTCTCACGTCCCAAGTGGAGATTCAGTGAAACCCTGACTATCATGACCGTAATTGCACTTAGGAGAAACTGAGCAGTCTTTGGACTATGCAGTCAAGAAAGGCTCAGAACTTCTGCAAGGCCAGATTCACGAAGGTTCTTAACTGTAGCAGTCTAGAAAGACCTGGAAATAGCAAACAGCTGAGCTAAACATGGGGATCGGTCACAAGGTAAGTGACAGGGAGACACACTTGTTCCTTACTCTCCCTAACACCCACCCCAGTCCAGGACCCACAAGAGCTGTTCAGTTTGGAGGTTAGTTCTCTACTCTGGAGTTTTCATGTCAGCTGAGATTTTTTTTTTTAAACTGATACCAGAAGGGAAGTCTGTTGGGGTTAGGAGGTCACTAGGAAGGAGCCCCAGCCATAGGCTTCCTCAGGGATAAGTAGTGGAGCAGAGAGCCTTGGGTACACAGTCATGCTCCATGAAGGGAAGATGGCAGTGTGGTGTTCCAGCAGCAGCAGCAGCAGCAGCAGCAGCAGCAGCAGCAGCAGCAGCAGCAGCAGCAGCAGGGGTGAAGAGGTCAGGACACGGCACACACAGTCACGAGAGTGGGTCTAGGACACGAAGAGGGAGCTCTTGGTGAGTTCTGCACATGGCAGCATGGAGGGGCCCACCACATGCCAAGCCTCCCACCAGGAACCTTCACCCTAACATGGAACTTAAATAAAGGTCAGAGAAGGTAAAGAAAGCATAAATATTGAGCTGACAGAAGCCATGTTTTTCTAGGCTAGGCAGAATAAACGTTTAAAATAGATTTGTTGCTATTGTTGTTGGGGTAAGGAAAGCCTGTATTTTATGAAGGTCAGAGGAAAATTTGTGTTTTCTCCTTCCATCTTCATGTGGATTCCAGGGATAAGGTTGGGGGTCCACTTGTGCAGCCAACTCTAGTCCATGAATACATGTTTAGATGTTCGTGTTTTCTAGCTGGAGCTTGAGGAAGTGTACCTGCTACTGTGAGCCTGTAGGGGGCACACTGCTGGGCAGCCGTCTCCAGGCCTTGCCCACTCTGAAGGGAACTTTTGGGCCACATGAATTTGTGCTGCTTGCATCTCCAGAGTGCTTGCTGATCTGATGCCTGCACAGGGAAGGAGCAGGAGAAACTGACTCAGGGTTACCAGAAAGGGGTGGCTGGCACAGCCATCACAGAACCAGAGATTGAAGAGAGGACAAGAGCCCTTGAAAGTCCTGATAGTGAACTCCAAGCACCGAGAAAGGAGTTAGAAGGGACGATCTGAAGGGCAGTCCAGCATGGCCCGAAGAAAGGTGGGTGACACCATGCATCTAGTTCTGAACTTCCAGATGAAAATATTGAGCATAAGGGAGTTTGAGTGGTGGGTGCGTCAATTCTTTGTATTGGTTTTTTTTTCCCTCTTTTATCAAAACGCAAGGCCAAATTGTGACTATGTGTAGATGCCAGCATTCTGAAACCCCCAGGACTAATGTTTGATTACTGTGTGACGTGTGTAGCTCCACTCAAGGAAGAGTGTGGTTCATGTCAAGGAATGTTGCTACTGGCTTTGTGGATCTGCTGTGCTGTGGGAAATATTTTTAATGCAATGCCTAATTTCCCTTTTAAGAAAAGATCCTCATCTTGTTATTTTCTAAGGTAAGGACTAGGAAAGCTTTTCTCTTCTGAGCCATTGCCCATTCTAGGCAGTGAGAATTCCATAAACATATATTTCATCATTTTGCCTGATCAAAATTCAAGAATAGGTTTTCAAACCTGGCAGTGGTGGGAGCATTTGGGAGGAAGAGTCAGGCAAATCTCTGAGTTCAAGGCCATTCTGATCTATATAGCCAGGGCTATATAACAATTTTAAAAAAAAGGAAAAAATAATAACATAGGGGGAGAAACAGGTTTTGAGCTTAATTGCTGTAGTGCAGTTGACAGTTCTGGTTGTTTTTGTTTGTTTCTACTTTTTTTCCTCTTGGCCCTTGTTTTTCTATTTCTTTAACATTTTTATAATTAAAAAGTAAGTTATTAAATCTATCCATTTTCTTTTATTCCAGTTTTCCCCCATCCAACTTCATAAAGTTCGGTTTTGGTTTTTGGCTTTTTACACACAGAGTCTGTCCCCTTCATGCTTCCACTGTGTAGATGGGTGTGGCGTTATCTGCTGGAGCATGGGTACCTTCTCAGGAACAGCATGCCAAAGAGCACCAACTGCCCAGCAGCCATCCGTTACCAATAGCACTCAGGCCCTGGTAGGATGTCATGACTCCTCCCACTCCATGCTGGTTCTGGGTCTGGCTTGACTTGTGTGGGTCTTATGCATGCAGTCAGTTATAGCCTCTTTGAGTTCGTGAATACAGCTGTCTCCTTTTGTCTCTAGAACACTATTTCAAGACAGTCGTCTACTTCCTCTGGCTCTTAAAATCTTACTGCTCCGTTATCTGATAAACCTTTGGTTGAAGGGATGCATCTATTTCTGGTTTTGTTTGTTATTCGAGGGATTTTTTTTTTTTTTTTTTTGGTTTGTCTGAGACAGGGCCTCTCTATTATGTAGACTTGGCTGTCCTAAAATTGGCTATGTAGACCAGGCTTGGTGTGGGAGGTCCTTCTGTCTATGCGTTGCTTTATTGGTTAAAGAATAAAGAACTGCTTTGAGCCTATAGCAGGGCAGAACAGAGCTAGGCGGGGAGAACTAAACTGAATGCTGGGGGAAAGAAGGCAGAATCAGAGAGATGCCATGTAGCCTCGCCAGAGACAGACACAGGACAGATACTTGTCAGTAAGCCACAGCCACATGGTGATACACAGATTAATAGAAATGGGTTAAATTAAGATGTAAGTGCTAGCCTATAAGAAGCTAGAGCTAATAGGCCAAGCAGTGATTTAATTAATACAGTTTCTGTGTAGTTATTTCAAGTCTGGGCAGCCAGGAACGAACAAGTAGCCTCCTACAACATAGGCTGGCCTCAAACTCACAAAGATCAGCCTGCCTCTGCCTCCTGAGTGCTGAGACTAAAGGTGTGTGCCACCACCGCCCAGCCTTGTTTCTACGTTTCTATTTCTTTAATGAATAGCTTACTTTTACTATATTGGTCTAGTGGTATCTGGCATGCACACACACACACACACACACACACACACACACACACACACACACGGGGATAAACATACTAGGCTGGGCATACCATCTGTCATCCTAGTAACCAGAAGCTAAAGCAGGATACATACGAGTTCCAGGCCTGGCTGGGCTCTATAGAGAAACCCTGTCCCTAAATAAATAATTAACTATATAAATAAAACAGCAGTGAGCAGCATGA